AATATGGCCAAGGTGAATGCACCTTGCGCAAGGGGTAAGGTAGGGCACAAAGGGAGCCGGCTGTACGTGCGCGTACCAATCAATGGGACGCGTCGAAGCCGACGGCGCGATGCCAGCCAGCTTCCTCCGCCAGAGAAGCCCTCCTCATTGTCTGCGCATTCTATCGGATTGGCTTCCGGTGTACGGGTACAACGGACAGCAGCCCGCCACGTCCTTTATGCACTGGCCAGCCACGCAGTAGGAATGCACGATCGTCACGTCCAATGTCCATGCGGTGCAGCGCGTGCAGAATCGGTGCGCACGCCACAAGCCCATGCGGAAAGAGAAATGAGAGGAAGAGAGAGAGAGGGGGGAGAGAGAGAAACCGGACTTCCGACCGGTCGCAAATGCCGGCGGCCCCAGGGCCGCGAGTTATCGCGACACGTGCCGTGGTGGCATTTCGTATTAAGCCGGAGCGCTAATTAACTTGGGGGATCTTCGGTTATTAATCCGCGCGCGAGTCTGCGACCTAACCGGCCGGACGCATCTGTCGACGATTTCCGTTTAATACCCCCGGATGGGATCAAGCGGCTTTGACGGAACTGTCCTTGCTGGATCGCGGCCAGGATATATATGTATGTACTGTCGGCTAATAATACGATTTACGTGGGAGGGTTGTAATTTCGAACAAGGACGGATTACGTTGCCTTATTCAATGGATATTTTAGCTTCCCTACACGATACATTATCGATGAATATTTTCCTTGGTGTAAAAATGTGATAACGGAGCTAAGTGAGTCTTTTTAAAGTATCAATTAAATTACTTTTGCTGTAATCTTACTAAACAAAGATGATGAATTCTTCAATATTTATTTTTATATCTTATATAAGCGAAAAAAACATCTATAATCGATACTATATGAATATCATGTTATAAATTACGTAGAAACAAATTTAATATTTTTCATTTAATTAAAGATAAATTTTAATGAATATTATTTTAATTTTCTGACGATATACAGCGCATGAATTGAAAATATATCTGCGAATTAAAAAACACGTGCTCTGATGTATTTCGTTTTGTAAGGCCGCAGAAGTGCGGCGGTTCAAATTCTCCTCATTAATGTTGAATGGCACGAGTACGCGCGATCTTTTCGTTAGCAGTTTGCTGTATAATTTTCAGCTGTCTAACGATTGCGTGTTGGTGAATTTCGCGAAGGCAGCGGTGTCTCTTTTCAAAGCGCGGGATTATAAATTCTGGCATTACTTATAACGCAAAATCATAAAATTCATAACGACGTACAGCGCCGTAATAACGACGAACGAGCGTCGGGGCGCGTCGTAGCGCGCCGACCTGTTACAGCATTTGTAGGAATTTACGACGAAACGCCGCAGAGCTACAGCTACGGGGCTCGGCCCGGTCCAACACCGTTACCGTACCATTGCAAACTGCCTTCCACCTCCTACGTCAGCTCAAAACTTTCAAGGTAGTTTCGGAAATGCCGCGCACAAACAGACTCCACTTTCCGCCGTCGGAACTTCTTGCTGCGCGCTATAATAAATTTATACGCATTAAATAGTCGCGCATTTTTGTAACGCTCCCCGGCGATGCTTAAACTTCACGCGAAGCCGATGGTGCGTCTGCACTGTAAACTTCGGACGTCTTGAAAATTAGACTTTACAGTTTACAAAGAACCGTACATGATTCTCGGAAAAAGGCGACGCTGCGCGCTGCTGTTAACTCGAATTCGAAATGGAAAATCTTCTGGAAAAAAGTTGTCGCGGCACATTTTATCAAACACTTTCTTATAATAAGCTGATTATGCCTATTAGTTTCAAGATTTTGAATATATTTGCAATTTTTTAAATAATAAAAATAATATAAAATTTAAAAATTAAATTTCTATTTAAAAAATTGTATTTAAAATTTAAAGTAGAAATATAGGACGTGAGGTACAAGCATAAATCCAACATAAATTATTATACGGGTAAACGACCGTGCGTGACATGCCGGTAAACGTTCGTCGGTGTCGTACGCTTGTTTCTTTCCACCGTATACTATAATCACACGCTATGTGGCTATCGTGTCTCCTCTATTAATATACTGATTTCACATTCCGAAGTGTACAAAGTATACCGTACGGCTATATATCCGATGGCTGACAGAGCTGCAACGCGATCTCATTTTTAAGCACGAAGATTCAAATTGCGAAGGTGCACGAGATCTCGTTTTCAAGCGTGATCGAAGAGGGTGATTTATCATTGTTCTGATAGATATAGAGAAGAAAGTATTTAGCAGCGCGAAATGTATTTCGCCTAAACGCGGTTTGTCCCTTTACTACCAATTCCCACAATTCTCTGTATTTTGCTTATACGCAGGATTGATCTCAAACTCCCGGCCAACTTTCTTGCACAATCGCGGTGTACATGCGCAACTGGAAACGTTACATAGTACATTCAGATGGAGAGGACGAGATGTCGCGCTATAATTGGTCGCCCTGGCTTGTGACAGGCATAACCACGTCCCGATACGGACGTCCGACCACTAATCTGTTATACCTCGCTGTATCATATGCAACGCCGTTAACACGACATCGCAATGCGTTGCAGTATCTGGTAGTCAAGCATTTGACCTTACGAATATGTGAATAAAAAAACTATATTAATATTAATTATGATAATTAATATTAATAATGATTTTGTTTATTAATTAACATTAACTTCTCAATTTTTTTCATGCAAGAAATATTTTCATAATTACTTTCTCATACAATTTATATAATATTTATAATAATGGATTTATACATATATTAATATATTATTATATTCACATAATCGTTTGTCATTCAACTTCTTGAGATATAAACATGTTACTTGAATTAAACAGAGATGCGAAGAGTGGACATCGAAAAGTCCCTCTCACAACGCGCATTCAATATCCTTAAAACCGTTGCCATGTATGTAAGTACTCTTGACAAATTCAAAGAGTAATATACGCTATCCCTTGGTTCGCTTGCACGCCCTTACTACGCTCCGTAACTTTCGAACGACGTGCTACGTGCGGTGCAATTTGCAGGCAACGGCGGCGCACCGAGCTGTATAAGTAATCGTTTTCGGCTGGTCTATCCCCAGCAGACGGTTGTTTGGAATCCTCGACCCCGGCGTTGCCCGCGATCATGTACGGGAGGGTGGTTTCTCGCTCTATATCTCGCCGGGCTCGCGCCATTGCGTAGCGCCAACTTTCCCGTTTCGGTTAACTTTCATCCGCCGCTTCTCCGCTCGCCGAGAGCGAGCGTGTGTAAACGCGCGCATACACGTGTTACGTCGCATACGTGCTCTCTGATGCAACTAGCGGGGGAATGCGCGCCGCGTAGTACCGGCGGCGGTACTGCAGGCCAGGGGGGAAGAAGGGTTGTTGTTGTTCGGTCCAGCATATGGAGAGCATGCGATCGCACGGTGGGTATACGCTTTGCCAGCTGGCGGGTTGTACCGGCTCTCTGGTAATACACCGGAGGAATGTACACCCGGCGGCACCCACCCCCGTCCACGATGCCCTAACCGCGCCGTTCATCCCTTCGCGACCATCCTCCCCTGCTCGTCCCCCTCTCCCTTTTGGTCCTCCGTCATCCGTTCCAACTCTACGCGCGGCCGAATCTGGTACCAGACGAGGCACTCGTGGTATTTACGCAAATTCGATGCTCACCCGATGTCTCGGGGGCGAGGTATGCGTGGGTGGATCGCACTGCGGGACAATCTGCGGTGAAGCGTCGAGACGGCTGCAAGCGCAGCTCCCTTGTAAAACCGATCCGTCCGAGTGTGGAGAACGACCAGCTGGTCGATACATTCTTAATTAACACCTCGAGCGTACACGATTCATGATTTTTATTGTGTCGTTTTATGCATCATCGGTAGCAAAACGAACGTAAAATTAATCCTATTCATTTATTTCTGAAAATAGGAAACTAAAATAGGGTAAAAATTTTGGGGAACGTTCAAATATATATTCCGACAATGTTTTAAAAAATGTATAATAATCTTATTCAATAATTTATCGCGTAATTAACTTTGTCGTGAAATTGTAAGATCGTAGCCTAAAAAAAATGTTTGAAATAAATTTGTTACTGATATTATTCCGTGTGACAGGAATAATATAATATAATTTATATAATAATTTTAAATGTTAAATTTATCTCTCACAAAAGCGGACTCATATCGTATTAAATTAATTAGTGAAATTATGCTCTTCTCTACTATGTCGTACGTGTCCTTTATTATCCAACTTCGTCGTCTACATCAAATATGCGCGAGGCGTTCAGTGCATTAAAAAATGGAGAGTTAACGAAATTCTCTTCCTGTCGCAATATTAGTTCTGAAGTTTTGCATTTGTTTCACTTTATTTTCCATCGTGATCCGCGCTACTCTCCGGCGCGGAATAGCAAAAAACATAAAGCGACATATGGCGCAGTCATGCCCGGGCACGCGTTATTCGTGAAGCGATTTTCGTTTATATACGAGATTGCACTGCAAACACTACGCGCTTTCTCTAGATTACCGGACTCTCGGCAAAATTTTGTCTTAATCCTATAATAGAAATGCAAAAGAAATGTTTAACCAAGTTTGCCACCAAAATATTCGAATAAAATGTTCTTATAACAATATCGCAGATTTAAGTTTCGAGTTAAAATCTTTTAGTCTCTTTTGAAAATACGATTATCGTAAGAATCTATCCTCAGAAAATATGGCATTGATACAATTTGATATTTTATTACAATGTGTGCAATCTGATTAATTTAGAGATTTAAATTTAAAAAATTGATAAGACCACTTGGGTATATATCGCACACATCTTATTCTTGTTTATAAGCAAGATGACATAATCTCTTAGAATATTTGGTTAGAAGCATGTATCTACATCAACGTCAATTTGCAATATCAGATCTATACTGTCACATTTTTTGTCAGATTCTTACAGCTGTGACAAATGAGGAATGTAAAGCAAGTAAAGGAAATATCTGTTTCAGTTATGATCTGCGCGGCAAGCACTCGGAAAAACCGTTGCATTGGCAGGATAAAGACTATCTCAGCGATCGGGCGTTATTCAGGACAACAACGGAACCAGCAACTTTGAGCGTTAACCACGTACAGGAGCAGGACGAAGGCGAATTCAGGTGCCGAGTGGACTTTACTACAAGTCCGACTAGAAACTCCAGAATCCAGTTGACGGTGATAGGTTCGTATCTTGTTTAATAACATATATTATACCAAAATATAAATCCAAAATTTTCATGTTAAAAAATGTAAATGGTGCAGAGCGTTAATTGTTATTCTTTTCTACTTCTGAATTTTCTTTTAAAGTTTAATGTGCATGAAGTAAGATTGATAAGCAATAAAACGAGGAGCACGAAAAAATAAATATATTTACGAATAATCATAAAAGATCTTTACCTTCTAATTAAGATTAATTTGGTTTTCTGTGTGATTAAAAAAATATCTCATTCTAATTATTTTAACATAATTTATATTACGCTCTCGCGTCACTTATTTTGTAACGATTATCAAAACTTTTATCGCGCTTCAATGTTCACTTTTACGCCAGCATATCACTGATTCAACCGTCATGCGCAGAACACCGTGTCAATATTTTAGGTAGCTCGACATGAATCGATTAATGCGAATGATCGCACGAATAAATTGCATTTCACGTATTAATGTAATTTCGTTTAATATTTTAAAGTAGATTTGTGTAGCTAATAATGAATAACTTCATATCGCGATTTTTGAAGAATATTAAAATGATGCTCTCGTTATTGTCAACGAAGTTATAACTTATCGATCGTCGGAACAGAACTTCGATACAATTCTATTATGCCACCACTTGTGAAAATTCATACTCAGCGGAAAACAATGTGCAAGCAAATTCCGTTAGTCAGTTTCACATAGTTAGGATAGTTGAGCATGCAATCCTCGTTGCCTCGTTGCCTCGTTGCCTCGCCTTTTTCGTGCTATATCATTCGTATTTCTTAACTTCTCATATATTCTAAAACAACTATTATTATACCAGACTCGAGAATTAAGTTTCAATGAATTTTCTCCGTGCAATTAACGAGCGTTATAATATATACAAGTTTCATCTAGCGAACTCAGTTTTCCGACATCGTGTTGCTCTGCATATTTGTTATCCAATGCTTCTGAAAGAGTAATTTCTACTGAATTATTTTAATTACGAAGATGGTATCGGTTAACGCGTTTTTACCATTTTCTCTCCGTTCACAGAATAATCGACGATTCATCCCGTGACTCTTATTAGGTGTAATACAGTGTAATATTTAGAAAGAGAATTGTTTTGTTGGAATATTGAAGAAGCCTATTTTTCTACTGTGTAAAAGAGAGAGAAAGAGCGTGAGAGAGTCTCTGTAAAAAAAGATATTGTAGCGCCTCCTTTATATTACAATTCACCTTTCTTTTATAGTCCTTTCTTGTAGTCGTTGACGCAACACCATTTATGTTACAAAGAACGTTTGATCTCCGTTTAAAGTGTCGACTATACACTTTGAGAAACTTAATGTATCCTGGAAAGAAAGGACACGAGATTTTACAAAAGCGACGTCCACCTCGGAATTGGACATTTCTTTCGGCAAAGGGCACTTCTCCGTGCAAAGCGCACTTTTCTAGGAAAAGGACTTCGTTACATGATTCCTCAATTTACTGGATGTTCGTTTCACGTAGTAACCCTTCGGAAAAACTACTAGTGCGGTCACTCCCTAGAGGAATCTTACTGTTGCATTAACAGATAAAACCTTTTTCGTACGAAACACTCGCCGTCGGGACAATATCAGGCCATGATAAATTAAATATTAACTTTTTGCCAAGGTTCAAGACTTGGACAATGCGTTTATATATGTACCGTGCTGCGACAGCGCGTATTTTGCGTGTAAAAAGCCATTCTCAATTAATAACATGCTTGATGCAACTTTTATCAAGCGGACATTTGGGATAAAACGTGTACAACGAATGGACGAAAGCACTGAGCAATTAGGTGCTGTATTTTCAGTTGGTCAACTGAATGTCGAATTCCGGCATTAAAGCTTGCGTGAAAGGAATTTATCTTTTGGAGCAACGTGGAGTAATTGCGATTTCTTGTTCCCGCGGTTGCTCGTCCCCAGACAGAAACGTATCTTTGTATTTTCGAAATACTCGTATCTGCGAATGATACGCTCTAACAATTTCTCTTCCGTGTCACGTACCAAACATCATGACTCGCGAGGACACATCAACTCCCGCCGATGTGAAACTTAGGTGCTACAAATTAACCCGTTAAATTCCAGCATGTCATTTGTCACGCGAAAATGTTCGTTGGAAATGTTCCGTTCTTCCATAAAGTCCCCGAACAATGGAAACAGGCGCAAAACCATTTCTCAAGCTTCGCAGAAATTAATAAAATGTATTACATCGTTTCACAAAATATTTATAATAAAAAATAACCGTATTTTATATTTTAAGTAAAATTTAAAGATACAAGTTCAATTGTTATACGGAAATCTTCTGGTTAAAGAAGCTACATGACGTAATCCCTAATTTTAATTTGTTTGTGGTCAAAGCTTTCATAAGTTAAGATGATTATAAACATTTTTGCAAACGCGTAACTCTTGTGTTAAATCTGCTGCGTTGTCAAGGACTTAGTTTTCTGATTAGCTTCCCTAGCGACCAAAAGATTGCTCAGAGAGAGCTTATCATGGATTATGTTAGATCACTCGATATTATAATGGTGCATTAAGTTAAAAGCGTGCAAACAGAGCCCTGTTTATTATGTTCTCGCGTAATCAATTATCCGGCCGTTATCCGTGGCACAATCCGCGTCGCTTGCAAATGCGAGAGGTCAAGTACCTCGTAGAGCACACGTTTTGATAATTTAGTTTGCGTTGCCGTATGTTAAGTTGATATTTTGTGGGTATTAAGAGAGAAAGAGGAGGGAGAGAGAGAGAGATTGCGGTTAATACCGAAGGATCCGCTAATATATCGATTACACTCGATGCAAAATATAGAGGGTGCGGTAATCCTATTTTCAGAGGTGCTTCACTCGTCGTTATTTCCGGATGGTATCGAATAACGTTTTCACGTCGGGACTTTCTCACTTGCATGATATCGTGACCAACGGCTTAACTTTGCGCATCCGTGTTAATCCAGTTTATTTCCCATTCGGTTCACCGGTTCAATTTGTTCTGCGAATGCGTTCGTCCAGGAGAATAATTATGAGAGAGAACGGATGAACTTTAAGCTCAAAATATCTAGGGCCATTACGGGCCTCTAAGGCCATGTCCTTAATTATATGTAATAATTACAGAAAAACGCGACTATTGCGTGTAATAACGCATCATATATAAAAGAACTGATTACGTAGCACGTCTCAACTATAGATCATAAAATTCGGTCAATTATAAAGTGTTTTATAAAGGCAAATTTTAGGAGTTTCGGTTAAAATTAAAATTGTTAAAAGATTAAAAGTTATTCTGGCGTTACGGAATCAGGTCGGGTTACCATCGATTTATCCAGAGCTCGTGAATTTTCATAGGGCAACCTGTTTCGTTTGGACGGACATCCGACATCCCAACCGCGACTGCAGCCTATCTTCGAGGCAATACGCTCGCCACTCACCTTCTGACGTTCCGACACGCCGCTATTTCCGATATTCAATTGCCAGCGTTTACACGCCACGATAGACCGACCCTTCCACCCATCCGCATGTCGGAACGAACTATACACGACCGGGGGATTCCCGCGTGACCCCCCTTACGTGCCCTTTTGATACCTCGCGGCGCATTGTTTCCTTGCACGCAAAATGCTTTATTGCGCGCGGTAGGTGTACGAATTACCGACATAATAAGAGGTTGCAAGTTATCTCGGTAGGATCGTAGCTGATACCAATCCAATTACGAAGAGCGCTCCTCTCGTTTGTGTTACAATATCTGAAATAGTTCCAGAAAACGGCATAAAAATGTACACGTTGTTAATTAACATATATTATTAACACAATCGAGATATGAGATGACCGGGTGGTGCAAAAGACGCCGGTCTCGCTCTGCAGCTTATTTCATCTTGCGGTACTGAGATTTGCCGAAATTTTCGTCAAACTATCTGGATCGCCCCTTCGTGCTGGCTCGCTCGTTCGCACGAGTTTCCAGTGGTTACCTGTAACACCTGTACACCTGATGCTTGCTCGACTATTCGTGCGGCGCTCTCGTGGCACGAGTATCATGAATTACTCCTCCCCGGACGCCGCTGACTTACATGGAAAGTTTCCTATCTGTGCTTAAATAGCTCGTAGTGGTGTCAGAGGCGGTCAAACTCGAAACCGCTCGAACGATTGGCTGCGCCGAGCGTTGTACCTCGACTGGAGAAAACGCGGTCGTATATTGGCAAAAGCGGTCAAGTTTCGAAATAACGTGGATATCTTTTACATGAGTATCTTTTCATCGCGATGAACTCGCGCGATGTGAAACTAACTCGCAAAATGAAAAATGAAAACTTAATTCAATTTATCAAGTTTTTGTAAATTATAATTATACTGTGCTATATAAGGCATCTATATCGTTTATCGATATACATTTCAACGCTGTAAAAAGCAAAAAAGATAATATTGTTAAATTTTAGATCGGCGTATACGAAATTAGATGAATTTTTGGAATTGCAGTCGGAATGCATTATATTTTATACGATTGATAAACGAAATTTATTATTTAAATTATTATTTTATTATTAAATAAAATTGTTTATAAATTTTCTTTGCATTTCTTTAAGTACTAATAGTCTAAAGTAATATTCATAATTTTTTGTATTTATCACGATATTGACATTTTATTATATTCGTTTTTTTTTTCTCTTGCTGTTATAGTACCGCCGCAGAAGCCGAACATTATCGACGAACGCGGAAAGACCGTCCCAGCGGTGGCCGGCCCTTACGAAGAAGGTGGTGACATGAGACTGCAGTGCCTCGTCTCTGGGGGTAAGTCCTACTTTCTATAATGAGAGACAGGCCGAATGAAAATACGTCTGAGTATTCTCTTTCGAAGCTGCATGCCCTCGTAAATACGCCGCCGGAAGAGCTGGTAGAATAATTGGCGTGACCGATGGGAATGAACTCTGTTCTGGATTCCTTAACCCGTTCTCTCGCCCGCGCATGTAAAACATCCCATCTCGTTCATCCCGGAGTCGTGTTATTCTTATTGTTAGTTATAGCATCTAATTAAGACTTCACATCATGACCGTATTCCGATATTGCGGGTAAAGAACGTTTTCCCGAACTTCGACGGTGTAGTCGCGAGGAGTTCTAAAAATTGCAAACGTAACCTTTCAGCGTTTTGTATTCTTTATCTCATCTGATAATTCTCTCTTTGATCTCACCGCAGTCATTGTAATAGGTCGATTACATCGTTGTCGTTATGGACGAAAACATCGGGATTTGCTGCGAAGAGAACGAATAAATATCATCTTACTATTACTATACCATATAGATTTTCTGAAACGCCATTTACCCCTTTCGCGCGTTTTATCTTCATGTAAATACAGAATTAAAAGAGTACCATTGCCCAGATCGTTAAACGCTTCGACAAAACGTCGAGTGCTTTAACAGCGGTCGCGGTGCATGCACTCGTTCGGCGCTCCCCTTTATTCTATTACATTTTAATATCCGGGCGCGCGCTGCTGTGTCGGCAAGGCGAAGGCAATAACGATAATAAATTTATTTTTATTACCTCGCATGCCGCCACCCGAGGGACACGACAGTGCTACATGCCGCTCTTATACCGCTCTCTTCACCACTGCCTACAATTCCACCACTTTGCTCCTACAACTGGCTCCTACCCCTCCGGTGCCACCGTTCGCGCAATCCCCCTTCCGCCCTCCGCTGCCGAGCGTGTTTTTCTGCTTGTCCCTCTCGAACAAAAATAGGTCCGGTAAAAAATAATGAGGTCGCTCCGGTACAAGCTAGACCGCCCCTCCGACTCGCCGCTTCCCTTTAACGGGATATTCACCCTCGGGGGATTATCCGCACGCAACGACCATTATGAATTATGAATTAACGCGCACCGCGCAGCCTACACCGATGTGGGCGGGCAAAGAGGGCAAAGTGTACGTTTATGCACGGAACTTGGCAGACTCTCGCGGACAAGTAGTAAGACAGAAAGGGTCCCGCGTGATATGTTGCACTGGATAGCGTGGCCGACATGTCGATGCCGTTGTAACGTGGTTTTCTTGCGAATAGAGCACCATTGCAATATCAAAATTTATATATTCTCGGGAAAATTGGAATCAAAGTAAATGATATAAAATGTCGCACTGAATAAAAATTTCACTGTCTCTATTAAGAAGATATTATCTAAAGGTAAAGTTATTATTATAGATACATGTATATTTTATTGAAATTTATATTAACTCTATAACGTGATATTTTCCAATAATCCAATATTAAGCGAGTACATATCAACTGGTACTTAAAATAGGGAAAATTGAAGGCATTATAAATAATTTTATTTTATATGTCTAATTGTTCGTTTAGATTGCAAGCGGTAAAGAACAGCATTCTATTTTAAATGCGCATATATATCTTCATTATTATTCAATTAGGATTACTGTATTATTATACTCGTCGGTATAGAAAACGATGGAAATTAAAGATTAAAAACTATGAACTAAAGTTAAAAAAAATGTTATTAAATTTTAATACACGAGGGTATTTGAACTTATCGACTTTTTATTTCTGACAAAACTGATGAATTTTATGGTGATTATTTTCAGGTCGCCCCGAGCCTAAAGTGAGATGGTGGCGCGGAGAAACGCTTTTAGATTCTAAAGATGAGCCGGGCGAGTTTCCTGCTCTTCGTAGGAACACCCTAGTCGTCAGAGAATTATCAAGAGCGGATCTTCATGCGGTGTTCGATTGTCAAGCATCCAACAACAATATCAGTCAACCCGTGTCGACATCGGTAGCGATTGAAATGCATCGTAAGTATATCATTTATCGCACAGCGTTTTTATCACATAATTGCTTCCATTTTTTTTTCTTAAATAAACTAGAAACCGATTTTGTCTCGGTGCGATTTTGATGATATTTATTTTTTAATTTCTCGCGCGACTTTTCCCAATTAAACATGCATAATTAATAACGCGTAAATATGAAGAAATTGCGTTCATATTATTAAATTGTGAAATATTATCGAATAAGCACGTCCCCCGTTTTTTACGCGCAAAGCTTAAAGGGCGGCAGATAGCTGAAACTCACGGAGCTTCGTAGTTTCTCGTTGTTGCGCCGTAGTTACAAAGTGTAACACCGCCTGCGGTCTCTCAGGAGGATAAATCCAAAGGGTACAATCGATCCGCCCAGCCGTGCCCGCCGCTTTCCTCTGTGAATCGGCGCAAAAGGAATGCATTTGCGAATCGGGCCAAAGGGAAAATCTGCGTTGTCGAGTAAACGAAGCTGAATACCGAAGCGGGAAAGTATTTAACCCAGAGCCTCGGCTTCGGCTCTGCAATCCCGTTTATCCCGCAGCCACGTGCCTCCAATTTTTTCTTTCTCTCAGTTTCGACGTGTTCATTCTCCAGTTTGGGTCACGAAGAAGAATCGCGGGGCAATCTTAAATCTGGCAGCCGAACAAAAAATAGTTAACTTAAGTTTTTACATGATGTTGATGTATCTCTTTTTGTCTTCTTTCCTACGGACTGTTATATTTTTGTTATCGTATAAAGTATGCAGTTGTCGCGGATCCGATACTATTTTGAGTTTAGACTGAATTATATATTATGCATACGAAAGCACATAGACATACATAATATTATTGTACGAGATTGATTTAAATTAAGACTCAGCTAGTCAATCCTGGCGATACGACGCGCAATTAATCGGTTGACCGAATAACAAATCCCGAATAATAAAGTGCCTCGTATTACCTATATTTATATAACAAATACTTCGATTCCCTCGAAATAGTCGAGCTAAGCACCGCTCGGCGACGCAATTTGTCTCGAAGTTACTCGAGACGGGTGAAACATCTCGACGAAATGGTGATGTGGTGAAGAGGGGAGAGAACAAGAGAGAGAGAGAGAGAGATGCGCAGAAAGGCGAGAAGCGCGATAGGGAAAGTGAGGCGAAATAGAATCGAAGAGCGATGCACCGAAGAGAGAGTCGAAACGCATAATGTTTCCCGGTGGAGCCCAGCGAGCGACGACGGGTTGGGAGCTCGATTCCGGAAGCTCTCGGATTTTTATTAAATTCCGAGGAGAAAGAGGGGCTTCGGGGCATCGGAGGTCGCGCGGAAAGTCATCGCGGTTTCCTTCGCTTTACCTCGTTTTCGTCGTGAAGCGACGAGCCGCCCCTAAAAGTGGCTCACCCCATTTCGCTGATGCTCATCGACAGTGTCGCGGCCTTATTATCTTTTCAGAATTGGATATTCCTTCCGCTTTTCTCGATGTTTCAAGCTCAACGGAAAGCTACTATCGCGTCCGCAAAGAGAATTAGTGGTTCTGGTAGAGAAAAAGCACTCTCCTCGTCGAAAGTATACGAATGTAAGAGCAAAATTCGTATCATTATAACGCGGAATTTTTTTCGCGTAATTTCGTAATTCGCGAGGGAATCCTTTCTGTAGCAGGAATGCACAAGAGAATGTAAATTTTTCGAAAAAAGAACCTTAAGCGCGCATTTGGAAATGCAGGAAACAAAGACGAAACAATGATGACAGTGAGAAACTTCAGATTATATAACACGCGAAATAACGAGAAAGCGACGACGCGAGCATAAGCGGAATATTAGCGGTGACGTTCGTTCACATATAACACCGTACATGACGAGGACGGTAATAAAAATGTCGATGGCACTCTTTGGCAAAGTGATAATACGTGCTCTCCCTACCTTAGGAAAAAAAAGAAAAAAAAACACGATTTTCATCGAGGAATGGAATTTACGAGAGGAGGCAAAGTCGAATGTTGGCGGACGTCTACTGCATTCGGGAAATTATCGAAAATCCATCCTTCTTTTTGTTCGCGAGCGAGTGAAGCCTTTTTATAGGGTGCGTGTATTTAACTGCGTCGTACACGCGACTAAACTGCGAGACGCGGACGATGAACAAAAGCGGGCGATTATTACGCGTGCGGCGAACGGTTTCGCCGACGAATGCTGTAAGCACGCGTCAATTATCATTTCGTCGTTTCGCGTTCACGGACAAGCATCCGGAAACCGCGCGCGCCGGCGGTCGTTCAATTAAACTCGGGGAGACCCAATTTTCCATCGTGCGTATATATGTACGCGCACCTACGTCCGCCACGCAAATTCAACGTTGCTGAAATATTCGAGTAATGGCGCGTTAGTGATGCGACCCATTATGCGTCTTCCATCCCGCGCCGATCCTTATCGTCCATGATTGGCAGAGTACCAAGCAACGCGTACCAAGCCGGCGTTCTCGCGGTAAATGAGCGACGAACGAACGATAGGCCCGGCACCACGATCGATAAGAGCATCGGACGTTCTTTTTTTCCCTTCCTCTTTCTCTCCCTTTTTTTTCTAGCAAGAGGCGTAAAGTATTAACGGCAGACTCCCCGCCGCGCCGTAACGTCATTCTGTCTAGTCGCGTACTGCGAACGCGATCGATGAGCACTGAATCCGCAACGTTGAACGTCACTGCAAATTGTTGCATACCGTGTTTTAGTGGTGATTACAATAAATCGCGTACGAGCACTTCGCTTTTTCGCGAAGTCGCTTTTATCGCGCCGTCCCTCCCTCCCCTCCCTTCCTCTCTCTCTTCCCTCTTTTCGGCATAAAAGCTCGACACATGCCCGTATCTTTTGCCGTATATCCGTCATGGCCGAGTGATGCATACTTGTCGTAAAAATATAAAGGCACGATGATAAAAACGCGAGGGCGTTTTTAGTGGAGTGCGCGCCTTATAGTCCGCGCGCATAATTACGAGCTCCCAACACAAGCCGTCTAAAAGTTGGCGAATTAAAGCGGATTTTGCATTCAATTATTTTTAATTGGGCGAGAGGAAGCTCACGCTGCGACGTGCCCGCGGAAAAAAAAGCTGCGATGCGCGCACGGAGGCAGGGAAGTTACGTCCCGCGCGGGATTATTAAGTGAAAAACGGTAACCTCGCGCTTACCGATATCGAGCGAACCGCGGGGGAAGAAGATTCGCACCGGACTCGCGGACGATAATTTGCGATTGTACTCGGCGGAATTGTGAGAGAAGAGAAAGCGTCACCTCGTTTCCAAAATCCGTCGTCTCGCATCTTTCGTAATTCATCGATGCGTGACGCGCACACACTCAATATCATTTACTTAACAATAACAGTTTCGATCAGAATAATTTTCGCTTAAATTATCACGTGTCTCCATCCGTCCTCGAGCTAAATACACGCGACAATGTCAAAAATACATACTGGACACGTAACTCGTACCGCGGCGATTTAACTCGGCCGTTATGCAAATAACTCCTCGCGCCGATTCCGCAAAATGGAGAGACACGAACGAAACGAACATAATTATCTGTGCCGGGCTGTTACCCGGTCTATCGGCTTTAATTTCCGCTTTACGTTTCGCCGAATAACGCAGGAAATAAGTGCACCAACCTCGCCGTGCACCTACGGGGGGGGGGAGAGGGGGAGGGCAGGGGAATATACGTATCTCTCAGGTATTATACTCGCGAGGCATCACACTCGTATAGGCATTACGCCACTCCACGGGTTTTATTGCCCGGCGTTAAAGCCCGCTCTTTCGCCGTGAGGCAGAGAAGAGCGCGAGAGAGCGGGCTGGCTTTCTTCCTCCGTGCACTTTGAACCCGGCGTCTCCGGCGTGCGGCCCCCGCCGTCGGGGCCGGGCCTGGGCTCCACCCATCCCCTTAAGCCGTCGTATGCCCGTGGCATGGGGACGAAGGGGTAGACGAGGGGGAGCCGCCTCTCTTGGATTCCGCAAAGGATTAAACCTCATAAATTCCACGGAGCACTCCGTGGAATTATCGGTATGCGGCCTTACGTCCGCCTCTCCGCCGCCTTTTACGGACGACTCGACAAACGAGAGCGATTTCCACGCGACTTTATGCTTTCTATCCCCCCCTTCCACCCTCGCCCCCCCATATTCAATCCCCGTCTTCCTCTCGTCTCCGGTTAGCCGGCCGTGCGATTCTTATGAACATACGTTCGAGGCGTTATTTGCATGACTGCACGCCGGATGGATCGCGAATCGCGGACGAACGAGAAAGTATTAACGCCGCGAAGGTTTTCACGACGCGGAGTGGTGCGGAAAATGCAATTTCCTAGCCGCGAAAACTCATCTGGATCCCGCGTTGTTGCAACGAAAGATCTACCAGCATTCTATAACAGATTGAATTATGCGCGCTAAATTGATGATAGATTGGGTTTTCTTTGTCCGGGAGGGAGAAAATAGATGGGATTATATTGTGCGATCTATTCCAACAAGAAGATCAAATGAAGGAAAGTGGAAAAAATATATTTTTTAACTGAGTTTTATAGGGAATGCTATATAAATGCCACGCATTTTTTTTTCTTCCAATATAGAATAGTCCATATCTCATAACAAACTCAATTTTTAGATACAAAAAAAGCAAAACTAATATTCTAATAATTGGATAAATAACAAGAGATTCTCGATAACAAAATTAACAAATAACAAGTAAAAAAAAGCTTTGAAAATTCAACGCGATTGACGGTGCGCAAGTCAATGTTACACCTATCCCTAACAATCGATAAGCGATGCGGTGATGCGGTAATAATTAAAATGATCTCACGCTCTCCGGCGAGAAATAAATGAGTAAATTCAAAATTTGGTGGTCTAAAAATAGCGTGATTTTCCGCGAGAAAATCCAAGTAACATTTATAACAAAATTGTGCGTATTGTTTTTAGCATAAAATATAATGTCAATGTTGCAACGTTTTGATATTATAAGGGAAATCAAGGCAACCACGTTGCGACCGGATCCGTGCGATTTATGGACGAAAAGC